AGAAAAAGGTTACTAGGAATAATTGTTAGAAGCTACTTCTGGTAAGACAGTTTTTCTTACAAGGTTTCGACGTCTACAAACACTGATCCTGATCGTTGAATATTGATCTTTTGCTTGTCATGCCTTTTTAGTAGACTTCACTGCATCTAAATAGTCGTTGCCTTTAATCTAGAAAAACACCTCTAAAGGTCACATGTGTCCATGGAATTTATTCATATACTGAATCCTTCTATTTTCCAAAAGACTAACTGGAACAAATAGACTCAATGTCCACTGTCTTCCATTCGAAAATAGGAAATGCTATCATCAAAATGAATATGGATTTAGTATTACGGAAAAATGAAATTGATCTGGCAGTGAAACGGCTTGGGAGACCTGCACGTTAGCAATCTTGTACCCTTTGTTCTTTCTTGTGAGCTATCGAGCGAAACTCAATTATGGAGACAGACAATATTGCTAAATTACCCAGCCTGTAAATAGAGATTTGTTGTCACCCGGTGTGTGTTTGAGAGGTAGGAGGTTGCTTGAGGTGCAACCAGTGTGGCTGACTGCAGTGACTAACCGTGGATCTTTAACGGTAGAGAACACGACAGCAGAACTAAAATGTCAAATTGCTAAAAAGCCAACGTTCCAGTCTGTCTCTGTCTCTCTTTCTCTCTCAGTTTTTTGTTGTGGCTTCAAGTCCTATCTTTTTCCTCACCGTCACTGCCTTTTAATCATTTTTCAGTCTTGTTTTTTCCGCTCTACAAGGTTTCAAAATGTAACACACCTCAGGGTTTGGATTGGAACAACAGCTTCATTATTTATCGTCAGGTGTTCATTAGTGCAGAGATATGGGTTAGTTTATTTCAGAATTCTGGGATAGACGCTCTGTATACATTCTTGTTTTTCATATTTAACATTTTAAATCTCACTTGTATCATTCACGCTCTGATGCAGGCACCAACATCAGCCTTTTATACGGATTATCAGTCTGTAGTCCTCACACATCTACACTGTATCTACTTTGATCTCCATGTTGTGAGCTAAGCTTTAGTAAAAACACGTTGCTAAAGCTGCACTTAGCACCCTGCCTGACATTTATGAGAAACACGACTCCAGTGCAGTCAGAGCAACTCAGACAGACTGCACAGCGCTGCAGTGTGAACAAGGAGGCCAAACACCTTGGTATTTTCTTAAACCCCTTCAGTTTTCAACCCACTGCCCCCCATTTTCCCCTTCTGAAAAGGTCTGCCTGTTGATTTTTCACTGAGCATGTGCAAAGCATGCGTGTGAAAATAGGAGCGCTGAGGGATTGAACAGATTCACCTTTTCTCAAGTTCACATTGGTGGGAGCAGCGGGTGAGTTGTGGGAGTTTATTTGGCACGCCAGAGCATCTGTGGCTCTCGGGTTTCCGCTGGTGGATACACACACACACACGCATGCACGCACGCACGCACGCACGCACACACACACACACACACACACACACACACCTGTCGCTGTCTGTAAGGGGACACCGGCTGCTTATTGAACGTAGAGGAAGAAAACAAGAAGGCAAGAGAGGACTGGGGAAAGGTTAAAGGGCAGGTGGAGACCCCCAATCGATGGTGCAAGTGGACATTCAATCTTTTAGCTTAAACCAGACTCTTTTGTTTGATTGAGAGGTGTCGTACCCTCAGGATCCAGAGGGATATCGAGGGTTAGTGAGGACGGGTGGGGTCGGGTTGGGAGAGGGCAGGGTCAAGTTCCCGCTCTCCCCTTGGAAGCTGGGGGAAGCAGCCACCCAGGGCCCTATACATAGGACTGATGCTGCTCTTTAGCTGTTCAGCAGATGGTCACACTGCTGCCGCGTGGATCACTTTGCCTCGGATTCTCTGGCTAAAGATCAAGTCAGGGGTGTAGAGAGGGACAGAAAGCGTCTTAAGAAAGTGTCCTGGCTGTGAAAACACATGGCTACTTCATTAGTTGTTGAGATTCAATCATAGCGATTGGATTTTTATGAGAGAACGCCACTTTGTAGGTTTCTTGGTCTTAAACCCTCCCCATAAACAGTGTCTCTGGTGGTTGTTTTTATTTAGAGCGATGTTGGCGTTATCATCCTTTCTACTCGGATGACTGGATGGCATCCTGTCTATGAAGCTTTTTAAATCCCAGTGCAACCCTGACCACTTCTGGTTCTGGAGCTGCACTATCAAAGTGAAATTATAATTGTGTCTCAGACATTTAAATGTTGCTTATTTCTATACAACTCAAGTATTGATGAACATATGTTGCTGCCTGGTTTTAAAAGCTAGATCTAACTGCTGCTGAAGATTTTTCTGACAGTAAACGCTATCATTACATTAGTATAACAATTTCGTAATTATTCAATTCTAAAACATGTTTTTTATGAAATCCTGATCGTTTGATTTGACTAATTATAAATGCCCGATATCTCTTACTGTATATCAAAGTGATTTGCAACTCTGTTAGCCAGTTGTGTTCATGGTGACAAAACAAGTTGAGATCTTAAGATGATTTGATATTTATAGCCTTTTTATTTGATTAATTATGGTAGATACAGATATGGTACATATAGGTACAGTTTGTTTTTGACATGTTCAAGAAAAATATATTTGTGTAACTTCGGTCGCGTCCACTTCTTTCTATAAAAGTGCACTATTTTTCTTGGATATTAAAGAAATCCAAAAGTATTTAAATACGTATTTTCTTATTGAATGTAATTTCTACGTACTTGATTACTGACTGACTATTTTTTAAAGTAATCTGACCCAGCCTGTTGGCACATTCATAAGCCTTTAAAAAGACACACACTCGTAGATGAAGCACAACACTAACGGTGCCAGGCCCCGCTGGTTTCCTAAGGCCACCACAATTCCAAACATCTGAAAAGAAAGAGGTGCATTTACTCGATTTTAAAGAGGTGACAAGTCTTCGGTCAACCCGTGGAGATATTGAGTGTCTCCGTCTGTCAGACTGAGACAACAAGCTGTGTTTCCTCCATCACAACTCTACCAGGAGAGCTGCAGCGGTGTCTCTGAGCCAACATTGATGCTTTCTGCTTTCTGTAATTACCTCCCTGAAGCCCAGAGTTGGATTCTGGGTATTTAAAACGCTGATGGTCGGGGACTTTTGGTGCCAAATCGGCTCTCTTTCACTTCCCTGTGACATTTACCTCCACTGTGCGTCAGTATTGAAAGTGCTTGAAGACAGATTTTATTTTGTGAGGTTGTCAATACTGCCTTTTTGTGGATATGCTTTAATGAGCTTCTGCACTAATTAGCTGCTGTATAAATCCCCTTTCAACATAATGTAGCTTTTTGTCAATTTCAGTTACAGAGCTAAGTGTTTCTGTGGAATAATATCGATCACATCTCTGAAGTAGGAATGACTTAATTTGTACAATATATTATTGTTCCTTTATTTTGTTTTACTAAGGGAAAGACATGTTATAAGATAAGAAAATAAATTCATTTAAAAAAAATTCTTCTTACTGCTCTGTTTGTGAAATGAATGTGTTTTACTGTTCAGGAAGAAGACTGTCTGATCTTACAGTATCTATTAAATCTAATTAGTGATGCTTCCAATGCATGATTGTAATGTTCACTCTAAATACAAACCAAAAAGAGATTATGTTTAGGCTTCTTACAATGTCTGTTTGAACTTTTGCATATGCCGGAAGAGACGAGAAATCGGAAAATTGTTCTGGATTTTGCAAGACACCCTTTTCTCTTTGTTTTCATTTCATTTCCATCTCTACAGCAGTGTGAAATTACAAATGCTCTCATTTATCGTTCGTAACAGGAGACTGTATGCTTTCAAATGAAGTTTAAAAAAACGTCTGCAGTATTAAAAACACCCCAGAAAAAAATCCTTCATATTATGCTTTTCTTCACACAATATTCTGACCATGCAGGGTGACTTTTATTTTCTATCAGTATCACATTACGTCTTCTAGTTTTGGTTCCAGAGTGCCATTGTTTTGAAATGCTGTCAGGCTCTGTTATCTCCCTCCTGGTTTCTCTGCAGCCTGTATCTAAATCTATTGAATTAATACTGCTGTGAAGGCGGTGGGAGCCAGAACCATGGCAACCATCAGCTCAGATTAGTGTGGGACGGTAGCTGGCAGGGGAGACACACACACACACACACACACACACACACACACACACACACACACACACACACACACACACACACACACACACACACACACACACACACACACACACACACACACACACACACACACAACACATCGATATCTGTGTTGCCAAATAGAGCCGACCCTCTCGACCCTGACAGATACAGATGTTGGTTTATTGGATGATTTGAATCGAGGGTTTCCTCTCTCCCACGGAGATAACAAAGACTGAGTAACAGGTTTAGAAATGATATTCCTCAATGCTGCTGATCTATATAGGGTTTGTTCTTTTCGTTTCTACTGCTGAATTGGTTTTCTCTTCAAAGTTGACAACAAGATACTTCATTTTACCCCATTGACAATGCACAGATGTTCTTAACCAACACATGACAAATTATTATGGATAAAGGACTTTTTATATTATATAAGATTAAAAGAAATGTGTTTCAACGCTAGACTTTTTTTGTTGAAATGGATCAGCCTCCATTCTATACCATAAGTTGTTTTTTGAATGCCTCTTTTAATCAGAAAGCCTCACGTGCAGCATTACATGTCATACATTACATACATTCAGTACTGTGGACAATCCCCACAGGAGCAATTTGGGGTGAAGTGTCTCAGGGACACAACGACATGCTGACTGCAGTGGGACTCAAACTTGCTACCCCCTGATTCAAAGTCCAGCACTCTATCCACTGAGCCACAGCCGCACTGATAAAATGTATATCTACGTGTCAATTTGAAAACTTAAAGTGAGGCTTGCATGAGAGGCAACAAAACTGAGCCAATCTAGATATGTTTCTATCTTGCCCCATCTTGTTTAGGTCACTGTCACAACATGTTTGTCTCTAACGCCTCTCTTTCCTCTGGCAGGATGATGAGGTGGTGCTCCAGTGTGTGGCCACCATCCAGAAGGAGCATCGCAAGTTTTGCCTGGCTGCCGAGGGACTGGGAAACCGTGTGTGTTATCTGGAATCCACTTCAGAAGCTAAGGTGAGGATTGCAAATGGCCCCATTTTGTGCTTTGGATATTAGGAGAAAATAGGACGTCTGTAGCAGTTTGGGATGAAACAAGCAGCTATAGCAGCTACACAGCAATGCATGACCTTTAACCTGATGCAGTACTTGAGAAATCTGTTTCGGAAATTACTTTTGATGAAACTAACCACCATTTTCATGCAAAAAAAATTAATTAAAGGTCACCTATTATACAAAATCCACTTGTTCATGCCTCTTCTACATCAGCATGTGTCCCCTCTGTGTAAAGAGATTCTGAAAGTTTCAGGAACAAAGATTCTCTCTCTTTTTGTCCTGATCCATTTCTATAAAAACCTGTCTGAAAATGAGCTGATCCGATTTTGGCCACTTTATGATGTCATAACGATGTTTTGGCTTGTTGGCTTGTGTAACCATTAGCCAATCACCAACCAAGGTAGCACCCCCCCCCTTATCACCTGAATCTCCTCCTAGAGCACCATTGAGTTCTTTTTAACCAAATCGCTCTCAGAGGGGCGTGGGGAGGGGCTCCTTATTTTTCATCTAAAGTAACAGACAGAGAATCAGCACTTTTGAAACAGGGCTGAAACAGAGGGGATTATGGGTAATGCTGCAATTATCTGTTTGGTGTTTGGAGCCAAACACTTCAGAGACATGTTTGTATATATCTGAGACCTATAATATATTGATGAAAAAATGTATAATAGGGGACCTTTAAACCTTGTTTGCATGACTTCGCTACGTAGGTGAGTTTTCGTGTTTGGCGTGATGACATTTAGTAATCTCATATAACCACTCGTTAGCACAACTAGTAAGCAAGCGCCTTTTCTAGGACATGTACGAGCCTCACATTTCACAAGTAGGGTATTTACAGATGTATTTATCTCGTAAAACAAAACCTTCAAATCTCTTAAGCTTTTGTCAACCACAGACCTTTTTTTTATGCATCCAAAAATCTATTAAAAAAACCGCAATGACTTCAAGGCGAGATAACCAAAAGTGCAAGAAATGCTAACTTGTTTCCAGGTTTAAAGTTTTATAAACTTCCACCTACTCTTAATGAGATGAGCTTTTCTGTCAAAGAATAGGGAAGAAGTAGAGAGACCTATGGTGCAAAAATAAAGCTACTTTGATCAAAACAAAACAACCATTTCAGTGATCCAGGTTCAGTTCCAGCTTGGCCAGAAACGCTAAAACATGACAGGGGTCGGTTATGTATCATTTACTTGTTTCTGCACCGGTGCACCCTAGTCTATGTTTTTGACCACTATTGTTTTAAAATAGAGAAGTTTCCTTTAAGAGTTTTTCAAAATTAGCATTTAGCTGCCTGTGGCGTTGTAACAGAGCTGTCAGTAATCTGTTACACGTCTCATTAATTTTCCCTTCGACAACACTTACTGCATGGTCATTACAAAAAATGACACGTTGAAATGAAGCAGATCGTGTTGGCTCTGGAGAATATGCCTCTTAATAGAAACACAATTGTTGCTTGCACCATTAGTCACAACATTTGCAGTGATGCTGTCAGTCAGTAGCGCGGATCTACGTGGGATACTAAATGCATCTTACATATGTAAACAAATGATGTTTTATTTTCGGCTCAACACTTAACGAGCGATAATCACATGATCACAAATGAAACCCTCTAATGCCAGGATGTTTTTGAGCTGTGCATATCGTGTAAAGCCTGATTTAATTTAGCCACTGAGCAGAAAGACTTGGGGAGTCATTTCTGCTGATCCTGGAACAGTTGTTGAGTCGGAGGGGAACACTTGTGTAGTTGTAGGCAGCGCATCACACACACCTGTCTCCTCTCACCTTGGGTACCGGTGACAATGCTCCAGGCCTCCTTAGGTGTGAAATGTGGGAGTGTAAAGGGGGAGGGGAGGTCGGCAGGATGGGAGGGGCTGTCATCTGCTGGCGGATCTCAGGTGTTGACACCTCATTTCCCAGACTGACTCTTTCGAATCCTGCCTTCCTGCTGCTGCTGCGAGGGAGAAATAAGGCCAGAGTGAATGTGATCATTACATTTCATTAAGCTGATGCTTTCAGCGACTTACAATAAGTGCAATCAACCAAGAGCAGACAAATTGAAGCATTAGTGAATTGGATCTGATTTAAAGAAGAGATCTGAGGCCATTTTCTCAGTTGCTCCATATATTGATTTTATTGTCTCCATATTCAAAGTCAAACCATTAGTAGCAGGGTACTATATGCAGGAATCCTGAAGTCAAATGTAATCCCTTTTAAGACCTTTTTTTAAGACCCTTTCCATACATTTTAAGACCTCATCGCCACTTCAAGTTTTAACCGGTTACATTGGCGACACATTTACTACAGTATTGATTGTCCTTCCTCCTTATCTTCCAACCATTTGGACGCAAACTTGCATTTCCCCATAACGATGTTGTTTGACAACCGGCGTAAACGGACCTTCGCGCGCTATCAAACAGTGAGCGTGCGATGTCCTTCAGATGACGTCAAATCCAACGGGATGCCATAAATAAACTACACAGAATCACACTACAGACCTACGCAATGATTACATTCAGGCACACTGTAGAATACAACCTCTTTGGACAATTTATATACTTATTGAAAACAAGCTACAAAATGTAATACCTTCGAAGATGCCGTTTAATACTTTTTAAGACCCCGCGGACACCCTGTAGCCCGCGGCACCTCTTATTCAAAAATGTGAATATTCAGGAGGGAAAATACAATCTTAGAATAAAATGAATCCTCTTCCTTTAACGTATAGGAAGTTCACATTAATGCCAGTGTATGCAGTATAACACATAAGTACAGTACACACAAATGAATAATTGGTGTCCTAGCATGAAGTGTGAGGAAGGCTATTGTTTTTGCGCAGATTATAATTGTTCTGCTTTTGAACTTTTGAGGTGTCTAATGTCAATACATTTAATGAAATAACCCAAAGGATCATAATTGTGCAAACTTCCCTGCTTTGGGACGCCCCCCAGACAATCCAGAGATAGTTACCCGACGCACCCCTCACACAGCGCGCGACCGGTCATAAACAGACTTTCAGCGAGTGAACGGGTCGTTGTGTGTTCCGTGTTGAGCGTGTATGAAACTATAACCACAACACAACACAACACAACATAACAAACGAACATCCTGTAATACCATAACTCCTGTGAACAAATACAGTTTGGATATCTACACCCCCTGGATTGCCGCAATCTTTCTGACAGAAGATTTATGCCAGACTTGTATACACCAGCATTCTTTATTCATAATTTTCACAATAATTATATCCTTTAACTCTAACATTAAAAAAAGGGCTCATATTATATTGCATGCTTTAGTTTGGGAACAAGAAGAGGTTAATGGGATTTACAACACTAGTAATCTATTTTCACTAACTCACATGATGCAAGACTCTGGATTATTAAATACTGCTTGATCTTCTGAAGGATCACTTTGCTCATTTTCACGGCTGATATTATTGTCTTAAACTCCCTGTAGTAAAGGTCGCTGCGACCGTTGAGACTCTTCTGTTCCCAGACAAGCGAGAATGTTCAGCGTGTCTGCCCATCAGGAAGAAGTATGATAATTGGGATATTGGCGGGCGGTGAATAATTCATAAGCGTGTCAGATCTGTAGCGGGTTGCGAGTTATCACTGTGAAAGCTCTTATGACACCACAGGTGTGTCATGTCATGTTGCAGCTTCTTGCAAAAGAACATTTTCAAATAACCCAGTTTTAAGTTTTGTGGAGAGATGACTAAATATTGGGCTAGCTTGCCTATGAAAAATGTATTTTTCTACACTTTGTCTTAGATTTGTTGACATTGGAAACCTCTTTTGTGGTTGTAAATGTAATTAAATTATGATTATCTGAGTAGAAAACATTTGTGTGCAGTGCAGGCTCACAGATCTGGACACTGCAAAGCGGTGTTGGAGGTTCCATGCATGTTTGCGTTGAGTTACAGAGCAGCGCCATCCTCATTATCACCCAGCAGCCCTCCCCTCTGCTCACATTTCTCACTTCACTGCAGAGGTCAGGGGTCAGCCGGGTGTAATACTGAGTCAGGGCAAGTGCCAAACACCTTTAAATCACTTCTGTGTTGGGGACAGATGGATAGCATGTTGCGTAAAGCTGGCTATTGTTGTGAAAGATTAGTGTAATTAATAAAAATAGTAATATAGAAGCAAATGAGAGTAGGGATAGGAACTGATTACATGTCATGTCAGTATAATGTGAATCAACAGTGCCATCTAGCACATCACAAGGTAAATACGTTTTTCATACTTTGACAAGTAGATTCAAGTGTTATTTACATATTTTATGTAATCTCAAATGCTCCATTTCCATTATTCAATTGCCTTGTTTTGCATTTGCACTTTGACTGGACTTTTCTGGCAGCATGTATTTAAAGTTTATAAACTAAATAGGATGATGAAGAGAAATCTAAAGCATGAAACAAAACACATTGTGCTGAGGAATAAACACTAGCCTACATAATAATTGGTCATTGCACCTGCATGCTGTACACCTTTTGACACCCCTCCTTATAATCCCCAGTCACTCTTTAGCAACACACTGGGATTGCAAAGAAAGTTGCAAATCATCAGAATAATTTACAAGCACTATTCCTCACTGAGTAGTAATTCAGTTTGTCTCTGGTCTCAGATCAGTGCCTGCAACTAATTTAGAAGCCAATTACTGCTGTGGAAATATCAGAACTGCATATTTCTGTTATCAGATCAATTGAGTTTAATTTCTTTAAGATGCATGAAGATTAATAGAAACAAATGAATAAGAATTTGTATATCTAGCATTAATTTGACCAGAATGAAAGTGAAATTTTCAGACAGATCCCAGCGTACATGAGCTATAAAAGGTAGAAAAATGTCTATATCGGCACCAAAATTAAAGGCAATGTTTCCCACAACCTCAGCCAGTTTTGTTAAATTAGATTCTAAATATTTTTCCGTTGTTGTCAAAAGTTTGTTTCCAAAACTGTTTGAATATAAATCAATTTGACGTGTCATGACAAGCATCTGTTTAGAGCCTCTTTAGATTGCCACTGCATTTTTATTTAAGTCACAGCCTGCACGTTACAGTCCATCAAACTAAATGGATACCATGTGTGACGACTTTTACAGTGTCAATAAGCATTACAAATGAATTGATATATTTCTAAAAATGATGCAGCTAAGAGTTCTTTAACATTTGAAAAGCATATCAAGTTTGCCTCAAGTTTCCTGTTATGTATGACATGTCAATAAATCTGAGCTCTGAGGATCAGGAATGTTGGTTGCAGTAACAAATGCTTGAGGCTATACTGGGAACATAAAAGAGAAACAAAACAGTCTGGAGAATAGAAACTCCTGGCACATTGATTATGTATCCAGGAGTGGAGTCTGTTTCTTATGAAAAAACTGCCACCGTCAATGCCTCTTCAACTAATGTTTCCTTCCCTCCCCCCCTCTCTCCTTTCTTCCTTCCCCCCCGCAGTATGTTCCTCCAGACCTGTGTGTGTGTAACTTTGTGTTGGAGCAGGCCCTGTCGGTGCGGGCTCTGCAGGAGATGCTGGCTAAGACTGGGCCGAACAGTGAAGGGGTGAGTACTACCATCGTCTGATATCGATCTTACACAACACACTGTACACTTACATACACAAACACGTACACAAATAAATCTGTAGTCTATCAGTAGCACTTGGTCGAAAATACCCGTGAGTTATTTTTTTAGGTTTCAGTGAGCAAGTCTCATAATTTATTTCTGCTTTTTATATGCACTGTGGTCTGAGTGAGTGTAAACGAATAATTATCTGTTTTCCAGTTGACATACTAGGATATTTACTGTGTAAACTTGAAAAGAAATCCACTGCCTGTTAAAGCGTCATAGTACTGGAAATACAAATGCACCAAATCTGTTCATAGTGGTCTCAGTTCAAATACTGTAAACTGACCTGATTGGAAATACTTCAGAGACCTTTTGAAGCCACTTTATCACAACCAAGTCCAGCCCCGGTCGTTTTTCTATTGTCCCCAAAATGATGCATTCAAATGCTGTCAGGTTTTCAGGATTTCAGGTTTGGCCGTATTTGATGACCTACTTTCCCATAGTGAGAAAAGCACCTAATGAAAATGTCACATCAGATGCTGATGATCAGATGTGTGAGAACATGTTTAGACAGAAAAAGATGTTTGTATAAAATATGACAGTGTGATTATTTATGCATAGACTAAATGTTACTACTTTTCGGGCATTTTACTTTGATGGTTGGTTGGATTAAATCCCAAAGGCAAAGCAGACGGACCCAATCTAGCAATACTCTGAACTACTTCAACACCAAGAACTGATATTGAATTCTAAATAGAAACTGTCTCTTTTCATTCTCTGTAACACTCTCCTGTTCAGAAGGCAATGATAATGAAAGGCCGTCAGGGGTCAAAGAAAGGAGGGCAATGATCTGTTAGTGCACTTCTGCATCCACAGCCTCCTTTCTCCTCTTGATTTACACTTAACAGTCCTCCGGCTCCACTCCATCTCACTTGGCATGTTTATTAGAAACGGTAAGTAATCTTTGATCGGGCTCTGTGGTGCCATGGAGTTTTCATCGACGGGCAATGAAGCTTGCTGGTCTACATTCAGTCTGTTAACCCCCGTCGTATGTTCATATTCTTTCATGATGCTGCGCTCAAACAAAGTCATTTCACGTGTCGTTTAATCTCATCACCCACCCATCCTCGATCCAGAGAAGGGGTAAAGACATGGGAAGGGATGGCATCACACGTTTGGATGAAATGCTAATGTTTTGGGAAAAGCAAAGAGAAAACAGTGCTATATTTTAATTTACATCCCAGCATTTAATTTGGAACAACAAACCACGATATACAAGACAATTCTTTATAGTGATCTTTTTTTCCCCTATTAATAACAAAGTGTGTATTTTTCGGGAAGTTCCCAAATTGATGAGCCTATTTAATATGTTTTGCTACTAAATAGGAACAGAGATGACAACACTGTTTGCATTAGTCATTGTGCCAGACAGCTGCAGCAATCAGAGAAACCTGAGCACAACACAACATGATATTTTGAAGATTAAGTATCAAATCCTAAATATGAATGCAAGCTAGCCAAAATTGTGTGTTGTGCTGCATGCTACCACTCTTCCTTCATGTCGCTTTCTGGCACAAATGGTTCTTTAAGTGTCTTATTTTGTGTGTACCGCTTGGGTCGTCCCTACTGGTGAATCAGGCCTACGTTGTTATTAGCCTGGGTAGCAGATTTGTTTTGTGCTTAACAATGCAACATTGTTGGCTGGCCTTGTTTGGCAAGACAACATGATGTTGGCCAGAATACACAATCTGCTGGTAAGGCTAATAAATCAGCATCCACTATCCTTTCCACTGCAACGGCCCATTTCTCTCCATTGTTGCTCTCACATTTGCGTAATTGACTGCCATGCAACCCGATAACAAGTTATTTTCATTTGTATTTTTTTGTTACTAGAGTGCTGACCATGAAAAATGGGTAGGTCCATCAGTTTGTTCATCCATCACGTTGTCAGGGTGCATGACAGACTGCCAAACGAAAGGGTTGAATTTCCGGCACTTTCATTTAAAGTGACGACCATTTCTCGATTGCCATAAAATGTTCATTTATAGCTGGAACTGCATTTAGTTTAAACTGCGGTGGCAGGTACTGCAGTGTTAGGAGATATTAAGCTAATGGTGGTACATTTCATTTTTTCCACCTCAGCACATATTGTGAAGATGGATATTAAAACACATTTATTTCTGTGTACTTCTTCTGGATTGTAAATTACTTTCCTTTTAGCATAACTTCTGGGCCAGAGTGCGAGACACAATCAATTGGCTCGTCACAGATATCTCCAAACTTAAAATGATGGCAATCTTGAAATAGACATCCGTTGGTGCTCTCACGTTGTACACAGGAGTCAAATGTTTTGCCTGGTCTCTGAAGACTGCTCTGTGTAAAGTGTGTAAGCACTTTAATTTGAAAGTGCTGGCTTTTCATTTGCTTAAGCTATTCATCCTTATTATTTTTTTGCTTCCAATGCAATAAGATTCAAGTTTTAGTATGCAGCTTACAGTATTTGAGCTGTTAAAAGATACATGCATACATGTTGCTTACCAAAGGTAGTGGTGAGCTCCCTTATTTATCTAATTTACTGAATTTAAGTTGAAGGATCTGAAAACCCACACGTTGGCAGAAAAAACTCACTCTTGTGGTTTTGGTGTGCTGCACTGTTTTCTCTGGGTTTGTTCTCTAACATCAATTAATATTAAGGGATTTTAAACAAGTTAATGTCCTGATTGTTTCACTTTTTTTGAGCAAAGCTGTTTATATATAATTCGAGGTTTATTCAAGTCGCACTTCAGTTTTAATCTATTTTTCTTTACATCCTCAACTTGTGTTTTTCTTCTCTTAACTTTCACATAATACACATCACAGTGTACATCATATTTTTTGATGGACTGGTATAAAGTAAATAATAAAGCACATGAAGCACAATTACTCTCTCATTACCCAAATAGTTTGAAGGACAGGGCAGTGCTTATGTACATTAGAATCGATATATCAGATGGTACTTAGCAAATGAGTTTGGCATTAATCCCTTCATGACAGCATTGAAAAAGTGATTAGTGTGCTATTTCCTATCCTCAGGCTGTTCCATATAAGACAAGCGATTTATATGAAGTGAACATTTAAGTTAATTACTTAGTCATGCTATAGTATAATGGCTGTGTAAGGCTTAAGCTACGAGAAAGCACACACTCTGTTTTATTATTATAACACCAAGCAGGCAGTGTTCAGGATATTGGCTCAATATCAGGTATTAATACACAGCCAGCAAAATCATCCATATGTTTTAATTTTACACCGGCCCATAACACAGTTTCTAAATGAATAACCGAAAAAATAAATCAATGATTGACAATCGTTTAGAACTAGTTAAGTGTTTCATAAAGTATAAACTACATTTTTGTGTGAGTGTATTAGACCTACTGTAAATGTGATTGCTTTGGTAGTTTTGCTACAATTGACTATAACCCAAAGATATTTATCCACTGTATGTATTTGATAACAAACGTTTCCACCTGATCTAGAATCACTGAAGGCTACTGTAGATGGACAGCAGTGGTAACATCCTGACATTTGAGCAAAAAAAGCATAATTATGCAATAGTACAGAATTAAAAAGTAAAACGTTTCTTACTATTAACCCAAAGTTTAGTCTTCTTTCGTCCGCCGTTTTCCGCGTAATATACATTTTAGCTCGGCCTTCCGTGTGCCAAAAAGTTTGTTTATCTTCAGGCGCTAACATTACTAAAGGATATCAACACACATGTTACGGCCTCAAAGCGTAGGTGGCAAACTTATTTGTTAAGGAAAATGTCATGGTTAAATACTAGTACTTTAATTCCAAAAGTGTGTGAGACTGCAGATATACTTTTTATGTTGTTCCGCCTCTTTTATACAATTTCCCGATTATTCCGATACAACTTGAATGCATCGTCAACCGCGAGAGGTACATTTCAAATCAGGTGACGACGTTTTTACGTGATGAGGTCACAGATAGCCGTTGATTTAAATGTCCAACAGAACCACTAACGTAACTTTGGTGAGTGAAGTGTAGTTAAGAAAAGTTAACGGTAATAGCAGGCGTGAAAAATTAAAACGACTTTTAAGGTAAGCTCCAGCCATGGATGTATCAAAAATGGCGCATACAGTAATGTTGTTGGTCACTTAGCCTAACTCATGACTTGCTTAGTACTATCATGTCTGGACGTTGGCTATGTTACACCAGTTGTCTGTAAGCTAGCTTCATTTAACAGCCCTGAAATGAAAAGGGTTTTAAAGAGTGTTTGCTTGAACTTGATGTTTAAGGCTCCTAGTATGTTTCCAGCTACCTTGAATGATGTATTTGAAGTGAACAGAAAGATTATTAGACTGTTATACCTATTTTTGGTTTGGCAGTTATGTGGACAGTCGTTAAAAGTCATTAAATTCTCATTTACTGTTGCTAAGATGTTTACAGTTACCTGTCTTCTGGTGGCGAAGTTTTCTCCATATAGCACGGTTTAATGCCAATGATAGGGGCTCCGCTTACAAGCAAAGCCATGCACAACTGTTCACAACTGATAAGGCCTATTTAAAGCTAAATTGTACATCTTATTGCTTTAACTTTAACAGTATCCTATGCAAATACTTGTTAGGTCAGTATGTGCTTAATGTGCTAAGTGTTGCCATTGAGCAGTCTGTCATGACACATAGGATGCATATAATGACTGGCACTGTCCGCATGACTTCACACATGTTAGACCTGTAAGCCAATTACATTTACCAAACCTTTCCATAACCATTTACTTAACACACCCAATCCCCCCCTAAATGCACACAAAAAAATCAACACAAACCTTTCTGTTTTTGTTTGTTTATCTACTGCTCTCCCAGTGTAAGCTGTTTAGGATACAGCACTAACTGGAGGGGCACCAAAGCAAAGGTCACAGTTCCTGACATTGATGTGTCAGCATGACACCAGGCCTGAAATACAGGCCGGCTCTCTCTCTCTCTCTCTCTCTCTCTCTCTCTCTCTCTCTCTCTCTCTCTGTGTAACCCCTCCGTCGCTCCCAGCTGTTGCCGGATAATCTTCCCATTTTTCTTTTGATCAAATTCTTTTTCCATTTTTGTATGTCTTATATAAGCCATCTGGGAGAGGCTTGGTTGCCAAAAGAGATTCATTTCCGTGTCAAATTTAGAAGACAGTTGGGAGTTCCCTTTAAGTCACACTAAATGTGACCCCGCAAGCAAACACACAAACTAACACTGACAACTGGAAAAGACACAGGATAGCCTGCATGTATTGAACTGGATAAACGTCAGTGGGTGGCACATTAGTTGGCACAATCCTAGCTGTTTCTGTGAGAAGTTTAAATATTGTTTGTCAAATAAAATTACAGTCAAATCTGTTTGAATAGACCCACTAAGTTAGGGCCGGGCCATATGGCCGGAATCTCTTCTCCAAATATGAGTTGTTTAATATCTCCATAACGAAGTTTATAAAGATAACATTTTTTGTACTCAATAACTCGATAATAAAAAGTCTTTGTAGAAAAAAGAAACACAAAGTATAATAATGGCCAACTTAATATATAGTTTGTGAGAATAGAAGGTTTGTTTATAACCCCTTATACCCAATGTGATAATGACAACATTTAGGTCTGGGACTTTGTGACTGAATGTCCATACATTCTTTTAATAAGAATTTTTGATACAGAGATTATTTGGATCTCACTGCTTATGGTACCTCTTTTTTCTCCTGCTGCTAGAAGTTGATTAAAAGGGTAAGTAGAATTTTCTTCTTTATCTCCTGACGTGGAGAAAACAAATATTTCTTTCCTCTTTTCTTTTTATTAACCCAACATTTACTTTCTATTGTGACACAATTCATCACAATTATTCTTGTTTGTCACAAGAATGGGCAAGCTGTCTGATGAGTGCGGCACCGTTCGTGTTTGATTGTTTGTGTGTTTTCCTCCCTCTTTCTTTGTCTGTTTCCTGCTTGCACTTGGTATGAATGTCCAAAGTGGAAGATAATTTTTTGAACTGCAGCTTACAGGTGGAAAGTCTTACTGTAACTTGATATCTGACGTACAGGTGAAATGGGGTTACTAACGTGGACTAAAGATGCGATAAGTCAAACCTGATAGGGTCCAGAGGAGAAGGATGCTAGAATAAGAGAATAATCTATTTCCTGTGTTTTTCCTGCAGGCGGGTCAGGGGGGTGGACACCGGACCTTGCTCTACGGTCATGCCATCCTACTTCGCCACTCCTTCAGCGATATGGTAAGTATCAAAAACACAATTTAACACAAGAGTTACTGAAAACAAATGCTTGTGACGCCTGCTGAAGTAAGAAACACACAAATATGTAATCTACAGTTCATTTATACTTACGACTAGCGAGATTATCGTGAATTGCAATTAAAAAAACAATCATGATAGGCTGATCGTGGTACATTTCCATTTTCGTGAATATTCCAATTCTTGAAAAAGCTGTTTAACCGGATTTATTTTTATTTTTTAAAACATGATTACTAGACTGTGAGCTTGCTTTTTACAGTTCTGCACACATTTGAGTTTGTGAAGTTTATTGTCTACATAACCACCTCTTCAGCTAACTCTGATAATGGGTTTTAAGTCCTAAACTATTTACTTTGAAAAAAAAAGAAATAATTTAAGGTATAGAAAAAGCTGTCTACCAATCTGGGCTCGTAATAAAGTGTCCTTTGACCTAACACTAACTGATTTCTCACTCCTTAGTACCTGACCTGTTTGAAAACATCGAGGTCTCTGACAGACAAGCTGTCATTTGATGTCGGCTTACAAGAAGATTCGATAGGTACAGTATGACTAACAGGCACTTTACACAGTCCACTTGCAGTTATTTTCTTTTTACTGCTTTTTTTTTATAGATTTCTGTCGTAGCCATTTCAGCAAGTAACCTCTTGATGGAATTGAAACCCATGGGAGAAATACTGTAAAACAAAGTTAGAGTGCTACATTTGACATCTGAACTACATGAATTCTTAAAGCCATTTTCCAGCAGAACCAATTTGCTGATCCAGTGTTCCTCAGATGACGGCTGTTTTATGCTTTTTTTTCTTGCAAGTCAGAAAAGACAGGCGCTTTTACAAAAGAGAACAAGTAGCCATCTAAAATAACAAGTATATGAATGTGTTGGACAATACACCTGCTCAATTGTATGTATCTTGTCTAATTGAAAACAAATATATACCGTGTATATATATATATGAATAAAGTTGTTGTCTTTATGCTAACAGGAGAGGCCTGCTGGTGGACCATCCACCCTGCGTCCAAGCAGAGATCCGAGGGAGAGAAGGTCCGCATCGGAGACGACCTGATCCTAGTCAGCGTGTCCACAGAGAGATACCTGGTAGGTCCAATATCTCAACAATTTATTTTTTGACGCTTACCTGCAACTGGGAGAAAATGAAAAGCTTAAAATAACATTTGTTGTTTTCATCACAAGGAAAAACGAGCCATAGAGGTTAAGTAACGAAGACACTCAAGCTGATTTCTCGGTTCAAATATATCAAATAAAACAAAAATAAACTTTCATTTACTTCCATAATTGTAGCAGTACTTAGTGTCATACATATCTTAAAATATCTTTAACAAAATAAAAACATGCAATTTAATTATTGAAGATTTCAGAAAAGGTTGCTAATGCTGTTTGTTGGTCAATTCAACAGTTACTGGATTTAAATATAATATGTATTTTCCAACACAGTGTATAGATACCAACACAAACTTCAGTGCAGTGTTTAAAGGAGACCTATCATGCAAAATGCACTTTTTTATGTCTTTTAAAAATATGTGTCCCCGGTGTGTCGGGGAAAATAAACCCTCTCTCTTTTCCTCCGTACCCAAATCTCTAAAAACGGGGGAACAACGGAGCTGATCGGTCAACATGAAGTAATATCTGAAATGTGGACCCACGGCCCTATCAGAAAGTTGCTATCAGAAACAATGCCCGACTGTTTTGGGCGTAATATGGTCGGCAGGGCTCGAGGTTAAGGACGTCCCGTCGTCCCGGGGCCGAAAAAAATAGTGTCAGGGAGGATAAAAAATAATTTTGGGACGAATTTGGGACGAGAGTTAAAATAAAAATACCCTGCTAACTCTACTACAAACGGCGATGAAAATGAAATCNAGTCTGATTTAACACTTGATGAGATTTCACATCATTCATCCACATCTGTGAAGTAACTAAAGACGTTAAATACATGTAGTGGAGGAGAAGTACACAGTTTACCTCTGAACTGTAGAGGAGTAGAAGTACAAAGTAGCATCAAATGTAAAGTACAAGTACCTCAGAATTGTACTTAAGTACTTGAGTAGATCTACTGAGTAACTTCCCAGCTCTCCTAATGCTTCAGAGTGTCTGACAGCTCTCTCATTAATCTAAACGCTGAATGTCACAACACATTTACTTCAAACTAAACTGCAAAATGCCACGAGTCATCCACACGCTGTCCTCTCTAAACACACATCATTCATCTTTGACACTGCAACAGAGGGGTAAACAATTAGTTTGTTTTAATGGACTTCACAACATCTGCGCTTATTTATTCATCTGAAGCGTGTCCTCAGGTAGCAGCAGAGGAAACTCGTGACACTGAAACATGACAGGAGATAATTATGCAATATGTTCAGCAGGCCAAAGCCACACACACACACACACACACACACACACACACACACACACACACACACACACACACACACACACACACACACACACACACACACACACACACACACACAGGCTCAACACTGATACTTGTGTTTGGATATTACTCCATAAAAGTCATTATAATTCTGCTGATTCCTCCCATCTCTCTGCTTTCATGCGTCTCCTCTCATAACGCATCTTTGTTTAGACGGTTCAAATTCACACAATGACCCGCTTCGATGTAATTAAGGTAATTGGGAAGAGTGCAACAACACAACCAAGAAGCAGTGAATGCAGATGTGAATAATGAATGGAGAGCAATTAAGGACAAATGATTGTGAGACAGCAACGACTCAAAAACAGGCGAGAAGTGTCTTATTTAAAGTCTTAAATGTTGGTGTGTTTCTGGAATAAGGTCTAACACAAGATTAAGAGATTTAGATGTTTTGTTTTACGGCATAAAAAACGTTAGTACATTTAAAAAATATATATTTGAGATGACAATAACATCTGACAAAAAAATATATATAAATAAATGTTCAAATTAAAAAAGTTATAATAACAATAATAAATACTAAAAGCAGGCGAGAGATACAAGCTACAAGGATACGACACTATGATGGGATGACAATAACATCTACCAAAAAATAAACAATAATATTTAAAACAAATAAATAAATAATAAAATACAAATAAATAAATAAAAACATTTAAAATTAAATAAATGCAAACAAATAAATAATAATACCAATACTAAATACTAAAAGCAAAACAGAGTTGAAAAGATCCTTTCAACATCATTAACAATGTTGCGCAACATTTGCAGGGATATTCACACGACATTAGACAAAATAAAATAATGGTACTCTTGATTTTCTAGTTGTAGGCTATGTTATCCAAACGAGGCGATAGTGGTCCGTGTGTGTGTGACTCCACCCCCCCCCCTCTCATTGACTTGCTCCCAATTGATGCGGAGATATGGATCTGCGCAGCGTGAAACGCCTTCAGCTCTGATGGAGGACCGGAGCTTTAGTCAGAGCTCTTTCCCTCACATTATTCTTTATGATTGTTGGAGGGTTTTAACAGCGGGAGGGTCTGCAGTAAATGATCTGGAGTAAATGTTCCCCGCCCTCTGATTCAGAGTCTGTTCCCCTGCTAATTGTGACTAATGAGCCTCTCAGTTATTAGATCAATGACTCAGAGTTCCCTCGTCGTCACGCTCTCTGTGTCTGCTGGACGCTTTCCGGATCACCTGTGGCTCTGAATGTGGGTTACTGTCACTTATATTTCACATCTCACTCTGAGCACAGGGTAAAGCTTGAGAGGTGGTTTCAAAGAGGGACAAAATAAATGTGGTCAAAGGAGACGAGTAAGGAGCTAAAGTGTCATTTTATAGTCTACCAGAAAAAATGCTTTAAAAAGTCAAGTAAAGAATAAAATAATAATAATAAAACTAATGGAAAAAATTAATTTAAACAAGAGTCTGGTGAGAGTACAAAAAATGACATTAAAATTGTGTTTATAACTGGAAAAGGTTTACTTAAATAATAAATGCATTATATTCATCATAGACAGTGATACTGCAGTGTGTGTGTGTGTGTGTGTGTGTGTGTGTGTGTGTGTGTGTGTGTGTCTGGCTGTGAAAGGTAGATAACCACGCTCCTCATAAGCCCAGCAGGACGGTAACAGAACCACCCAGTCTTTTTTTTGTCTTGTCTCTCTTGCCAGTTTATTTTTGTAATCATGTTTATTCTCCTCTCCTTTCCAGATAAAGAATCCTCCGCCTCCTCCACCCAGCCTCCATCAGTGACATTAGGAAGCACGAAGGACAGCCCCCCTAAATCCAGAACCTCTCTCACTGGAGGTTTTCTGCAGTCGGTTCTGACCCAGAAGGCCCGGCTGCTCTCCCAGAGGGGGGACATGCTGCCCTCCGCTCTGCCCAAGAACCTGCTGCCTCTCCTGGGCAGAGGGCTCAGCATGGGGCCCCTCCCTGGAGCTCAGGAGCTACTGAGGAGGGGGAAACCTCCGTCAGCCGCAGATCCAGGACCAGGCGGCGCTGCAACCACCGAGCAGACACACACACACTCCGCCACACTGCCAAACACACACACTCCTGAGCTGTCACACACACTTACACACACTCCTGAGCTGTCACACACACTTACACACACTCCTGAGCTGGAGGAGGTCACCACTGGGGTCAAGATTCTGGACCCAGACCCAGAAACAGAGGCTCCATCATCGGGTAAGACAGGGTTCCTTTGTTCAATTTTTAAATGTTTTATCCTCGTATGCACAAAGCTACAGTGTAGAAATTGCAATGGAATTCTTCCGACCTGAGCTCCTCCAAAGATGCAACATATATAATAAGAAATATTGCAAAAAGTCTATAAATATGTCAATAGAATATGATGATGTACAAGAACAGAATATGAAATTAAATAATGTACATTAAGACAACATTAAATACGGTTTATTGCGGTGATCACTATTTATATAAATATATATATATTTGACCTATGCACTCAGTCAGTCAGTATCTGAGATCTGCAACTAAAGTTTATTTTAATTATGAATTATTGTTTATTTTGTATTATTAATCTGAATCTGCAAAGTAACTAAAGCTATAAGATACATTTAGTGCAGTATATATAATATTTACCTCTGAGATGTAGTAAAGAATATAGTACAAGTTAAAGGTCACCTATCATGCTATTTGTAGGCAATAGCATAGGTCTCAGATATATACAAATATATAAAAAACATGTCTATGAAGTGTTTTGCTCAAAATACCAAACAGATCACCCATTCTAGCCACGCCTCATATCCCTCTATTTCACTTCCTGTTTCAAAAGTGCTGATTTGGGGTATAAAGGTTTATTAAAAAATAAAAAATAAAAAAAAAAGGAGAAGGGGGCTGAGCTCATGCGGGACCCGGCAGCTACCGTCTAAACTAAATACTGCCGTGATGAAACGCCATATCNGACACACCGGGGGATACATGTTTATGTATAAAAGACATCAAAACGTGCATTCAGTTATAAAATAGGCAGAGCTTACCTTAAAGGGGACCTATCATGCAAAATGCACGTTTTGATGTCTTTTATACATAAACATGTATCCCCCGGTGTGTCAGGGAACTCACCCTGTCTCTTTTCCTCCGTACCCAAATCTATAAAAACGGGGAACAACGGAGCTGATCCAGATTTGCGTTGATTTGACGTCATATCTGAAATGTGGACCCACGGCCCTATCAGAAACGTTGCTATCAGAAACAATGCCCGACTGTTTTGGACGTAATATGGTCGGTGTTTACATTAGCATCGCTAACACTCAGAGCTAACCTGTACTGGAGAGCATGTGTGTGAAGAAGCAGGAAGTAAAAAGGAACTCACCTTGTGGTATAACCGGCAAGAGAGAAAGCCTTTGAGCTCCATACTGTTTCAGAGATAATCCTTGATAATCCATGATATGGCGTTTCATCACCGCAGTATCTGCCAATGGAATCTCCCTCGTGAGAAGGCATAAGCTGCGCCCCCTCCTTTTTTTAATCAATTTTTATTTTTTTAAAGTTTTATACATAAAATCAGCACTTTTGAAACAGGAAGTGAAATAGAGGGATATGAGGCATGGCTAGAATGGGTGATCTGTTTGGTATTTTGAGCAAAACACTTCATAGACATGTTTTTTATGTATTGTTATATATCTGAGACCTATGCTATTGCCTAAAAATAGCATGATAGGTGACCTTTAACTTGTAGCTTGCTTTTCCAAAGTGTAATTAACCAAATTGATGAAAACAGTTCAGATGATGAGACATTACGGTCAGTTTTTTAATTAAGATGCCATGAACCAAAGCATTCCCAAAAGTAAGATGCAGCCTTATATAACTGACCTTTATCAACAGAATCATCTGTTTTAAACTCACCATCCCACACTTGATAGAAGATGCTGTTTTGAAAGATGAAGGGTTAATTGCAGTTCGAGCTATTCTCATTAAATCAGCAGGCCTCTGCTCCGTTTCTCATTACCAGATAAGAGGTTTCAGGCTCATGAATATTTAAAGTTTTTCAGACAGTCTGGATGCATCAAATATAGCCTCTATCAGCTCTCATTTTACTTTTGTCTGGTTTGTTTACCAGATCTCACAAAGTTCAGATTGTTTTTTTGTTTGTGCGTCTCAGACGGAATAGTCTGCCTCTACACTTGCAAGAGTTTAGATGCAGACATTGCTTCTAGTGTAGAGAACAGTGGTTGTGTTTTTGGAGATGATACGCCTCACATAGCTGGAGTTATCTTCTTTGGTTCACTGTCTGTCTCGAAAAGGCACTTTAGAAAGTTTCATAGCCGTCGGTTAGCTCTGATACTCGTCTCACACCAGGCCTCTTCAGAGTGGCAGGGCAATTCAAGGGGAAATCTTAAAAAACGTGCCACTGCTGTCTGTAATACAAATCGGAATACCTGTAAAGCTCTCTTGTGCAGCTTTCTTTGAAAAATATACAATTTTTTTTTCTGGAAATGCACCCATCTGAGTGATCTGCTGAGAGTTAATGCTGTCTCTCTCATGCAGTGCTTCACACCCGACCTCAATTAACTTACTTAAGAGAGAGGAGAGGCAGAGAGGGAAATGGAAAGAAGGAGGGACAGCGACGGGCCACGCATAGGAGAGAGCAGCACTGGCCCTTCATGGAGGAACATTTCCAATTAAAGCAAAGCTCCAGACTTTTATCTCCCCCGATGGAAACCCCAAACACCTGTTTCTACTCACAGAAGCTCAGATTTTGAAGAATGGGACACATCAGATATTCAGGCAAAAGTAATCTGTGCTCCATCACTGTTAATAGTCTTGGCGGTTGGGACACAACCTGTATTCCTCTGCCTCTGTGTGCACTGACGGCTGCACTGAAATATATGGAATACTGTACAGATTTAAAATACATGGGATCATTTTCAGGGGAATGAAATGTGATGTTAGACACTTATAGGTTTTTGCCAATTAACACTTCAGCACTTTTCAGGATAAATCTGAAGGATCTTATTGAGCTATCACTCGCCTCTGAATCCTGGGGAAATGGGAGCGGCTCCAAGTGTTTCTGCTGGAAGGAGTTGTTGCAGAGTATTATCTGGACATAGCTTTGTTGAGAAACACTGATGCAGCAGTGGTTTGAGCCCACAGCGTTATAACACGGTTTGGCTTCTACAGAGAGAGGGCATAAAGTTATTTTCATCTTTTTTCAAATCCCTACCCCTGCTTTGTGTAGTGTGGCTGTTGTGTAATAGAAGCTTTGAACGAAGAACGCGGAGGCGTGTGGCGCTAGTGCGTTGGTGTTGGGATCAGGGGGAGCACAGGTTCAAACCCCACTGCAGTCAGCATGTTGTTGTGTCCCTGAGACACTTCGCCCCAAATTGCTCCTGTGGGGATTGTCCACAGGATTGAGTATGTAAGTCCCTTTGGATAAAAGCGTCTAACAAGTGACATGTCATGTAATGTAAAAGAACCAAGCGAGTCTTGTCCAAACTGAACATGTTTACTTTATATGAATTTTACAGTTTCCAACAAGAACGGTGGAAGACGGAGAAAATGCACTTGACTCATATTCATTTCAAAATCATAACAGGAAGAAGCAAGAGCAGGACACATACTTGCACTTCAAAATAAAAGCATTTCCTATGACACATGTTAACCTTAACTTCTGTCAAGAAGCAAATAAACAAATGTTTTTACCGCCTTAAATAAAATAAGTTACAACAATGGCTGAATCTCACTGTTGGTCCATGTTTCCATCTTGCTAAAACAACTTCTTTACCGGCACTCTCCACTCATCAGCGCTGAATGACACGCTTCTCTCTTGCAGCACCTCTCTAACTCCAATGGACACGCCCAGGTGGACGCGTCCTTCATGCAGACCCTGTGGAACGTCCAGCCCACCTGCTCTTCAGGCAACGTGGCTGTAGGCAAGTTCACCACCTCAGCAACAATAGCACTATCAGTATAAGACAGTTACTTATAGTTTTAATAATGTTTTCAGATTATGACTTATGTGTCTATTAAATGTTGAGCCTGTAAGCAATGAGGAAAACCCCATACAGACATGGTCAAGAGAATAACTGCATGATCAAAGAGTATTGACTGTTTTGTATTACAATGTTGTTTTTGTTGTTAATATTAGGTTATTTGACTGGTGGACATGTGATGCGTCTTTGTCATGGGCATGATGAGAGCTTGTCCATCCCTGGAGCAAACAAGAGTGATGAGGAGCAGAGGTTGGTAGATATTAGGCTCACTAATTTAACTCAATTAGGTCGATCCACAAGTCCAGTTAGTCAATCAACTGTAAAACATTTCAAACTAACAATTGAAAAAGTATTTTCGTTGTATGATCAATAAAACTGTTCTACAACTCTGTTCTGCAATAATTACTGAGCTCAACTGTTTAATAAAACACCTTGTTTACAAAAAGGCTTGTAGAAATAGTGAATGTTTACAGTGGTGTGAAAAGAAGCAATGGTATTATTATGCAGCTTCAACAAATCCATTACGTTTGAACAATCTTTCCACACCTTCATTCTAGGTAAAAAAAATGTAATCCTACTTTTTGTGTTTGTAAATTCAGTTCATGTCCCTTTTCAGTCGGAATTGAGCATAGTAAGCAGACACGGGTCGTTCCTGAAACAAAAGCACTTTAATATCCTTGATTGTTTGCCATCTTAAGGGATGTTGTTTCACAGCTGACCTCTTTGCATTACCTTCCAGAATCAGTATAACAAAAAAGCAGAAAGATAAACCACAAACAATGAGAAATGTCAAGTATGTACACATCAATTCAATTCAATCTTTATTTCAGACTCAAGGTCCATATCACATACAAAATGACAAGATACACATCAATAAATAAGATTAAAAAGCTAAAATACAAAACAAGCAGATAAAAAACATAAAATCAGTCCAATCACAGCTAGCCACACATGCTCAGTGTTTGTAGAGGCTGTTGCGCCAATGTCTCCAAATCATGGAAGAGAACCGAGTAGAACTCTTCACAGGGTCAATTAAAATTGAGATAACATGATTGTCAGAGTCTTCTAGGTGACACATGAATTTGTACATTACATTTCTTAAAAACATCCTTTTGTGGATTTAGAAAATGATTTTATTGATTTAAAAAATAGTTGTATGTATTGATTTAAATTGACATGCATCCGCTAAGAAAAATAGTCCGTTGTTACTGTTTGAACTAACGTACCAACGGCAGGAACTGCTTCGATAGTGTTTTTGAGGAGCTTTTTGATTACAGATTTGAAAACATCGTTGCTTGCTTAATTCAGCACAATTCATTATGTCAAACCTTGGAAAGTATCTAGATATCCCTGCCCTAATGCCAAAGTAACTGCCAACTCCCCTCTCCTGCAGGGGGGCGTGGTCAGTTGCAGCTCACAGAATCAGCCCCCTGCAAAAACAGGGCTGGAAAGAGCAAATAGAGCGAAATGAGGCATGGCTAAAATGCAGGATTTGTTTGGTATTTTGAAAAAAAAAAATATGTATACTTTATATAGGTATGGCCCTACAATATATGTTTCAAATATAGCATGATAGGTCGACTCTAAGATACACTGACACAAATGTTTGAGCAGTGAGACTTCACCAACATCACGGGGATATTCCCTGTGTGTATCTGGAGCAGTAGCAGGGAAAGCCCTCGCAATATTTGATTCCCTGTGTGCCTTGAAAACCTCGTAAATAATAGAAACTGCTTCTCATGTCTTTGTGCTCTCAGGATAGTCAACTATGAAGCGGGGAAGGGAGCGTCAAGGGCTCGCTCTCTTTGGAGACTGGAGCCTCTCAGGATCAGGTAATATACACACAGTGAAGAACATGAGCTGGGAATATAACACAAAGCTCTGACATATTTCTCTCAGAAATGCATGGAGGAGTTGTCTCATTTGATGTGATTCCTTCATGAAGAATACATAGAATCACGGCTTTATGTGCAAATGTCACAGCTTCTCGTGCGGGGTATAAATAAAACCCACCTCCCTCTACTTTGAACTGTCACTACTAATTAGTTGGCAAAGCCCTTTAGAAGGTGCGGCTCTGTTTACCATCCCTTTCAATCTACTCCTCTTCACCCTTCCTCTTCTTCCTCTCTGTAACCAACCACCCACGCTGTTTTCCCTCCACACACATCTCCTGCCAGCTCTCCCTGGGACTGCCTGTCAGTGTGTTCATATTGAAACGGTGCAGGTGCATCCATTAGGGCACATGTTCTCCTTTTCGGCTTAGAGAGGAATTTTTATCAGTGTTTTCTACTCTTGCACTTACCATATAGAGAGCGTTTGAGCTTGACTGACAGTAAACAAATATAAACGTTATCTATCTCTTAAGTTGACGTGTTTATTCCACTTGCATATTGGTTTTTACAAAGTTGTCAAACTATTTTAATTGGGTGATTTAATCTACCACACAGTCTAGGCCAGGGGTTCGAAACTCCTGGGCCACAGCATTATGGTTGCACTCAAAGGGCTTTAAGACTATATAAATATATAATATATATACAATAATGTATTATAATTCATAATTTCCTCTGCATTGGATTATTATTGGATAGGGTAATAACTTAATAATGAACTACGTCTGAAAGCAGAAGTCTAGGGCAAATAATAGCAAGTCTCTTCAGTGCGTATGTCACAAAACAAGATGCATTGTGGGACATGTAGTTTATGGGCAACGTGCCTCTGTAAAGTGGCATGTAACCGTATAATAACATATTATATTCTTTGCATGCTCTTGCGGGGCCACATTAAATGAAGTTGCGGGCCTTGAGTTTGACACCCCTGGTCTAGGGTATATAGAATAAGTTATTCCTGTCAACATGTAAATAAAAACATGCCAGTGGTGTCTTTTATCATGAATTCACAAAGTCAGGATTTATGATTTTGTAAGTTCAACAAGCTAAGGTGAAGCCTTGATGGCTTTTTGACCTTATAACTCTCTGGAGTTCTTGGAATAGTTTGGATAACTCAAGTCAGAGGCATCTATCTCTGGAATATAATTCTACAAATAACAAATACTGCTTTCATATAATACTATACTATAACCCTAATTATAATATTATAGCCTTATCCTAATCTGTAAATACTAGCTTTGAACATGGTAAATTGACATTGAAAAGCTTCACAACTTTCATAACAGCCCTACAATCCAGTGTTGTATCCAAAGTGCATGACCCCAGTTCTCTGTGTTCAGCTGGAGCGGCAGCCACATCCGCTTCGGTCAGGCCTTCAGACTCCGCCACCTCGCGACCGGTCATTACCTGGCCATGACGGAGGACCCCGGACTGGTCCTGCAGGACAGGGAGCGGTCCGACACCACGGCCACTTCCTTCTGCTTCAGGCCCTCCAAGGTCAGTGGCCCATAAAGACATAATGAATTATTCTCTTATCACAAGTATAGCTCTGATGTGCCGTTTTGAGTCAGGCAGCTACGCCATCTGAAAGCTGCCCTGGTGTTGATGTAAATAAATGTTTGTTGTCAACTAACCTCATTAAAAAGAAGACTCAAAATATCTCCTCCTCTGTCCGCTTCATCAAAGGCTCCCGAGACGGTCTGTAAGCTCTTAATGAGCTCATGGCCACAGTACATTGACCTTTTCACAGCTGCTGAGTAGACCGCACTGTAAACGTTCATGCTGTGGACTGACCTAAAAGATACTGCCTGGGATGCAGCTATTTTCAATTATGGAGTTAAGAGGAATCTATCCTCCCCAATACAGTAATAAGATTATAATATTAGGGGATTTCAAAATACCTACTTTACATTCTATGATTTGCTTTTCCTCGTTGATTCATCTCAATTAGCCAGCCTTTGTATTTATTGCACTCTCTGTTTTGAACTCTCTGAGGCATTTGCATTTCTCTGCTTTTAATAGAATGTGTTCTAAAAATAGTCTCACTGACAAAAAAAAACGTGTGAAAGGAAGCAGATGGCTTACTGGAAATTCAAATGTGTGTTTTAGTGATTTTTCAGCGAGGTGGTTATCATGTGATTTAGATTAAGCAGTTAAAAACAGGAGTCTCACTTTTTGTTGTTATTTCTTCCTCTCCCATATTGGTCAGGTGGTTTTGATTCGTTCTCTTGTTTTAAAGCTTCACAATGCAATCAGGTAAACTGTGTATTCTTTCAAAATAAGAGCTGATCACTGTAGATCCCAATCCAATAAACACATGTCTTCATGTGTGAATCCTCCCTTAGTAGCCTGTGTAGAATCAGAGTCAGAAACAGGTGTATTGCCAGTATTGACTTGTCGTGGTGCAGACATAAAATATAAAACAAGAAATCGAATATAAAAAAAAAATCTTTAAGGACAGCGTAATAAAATATAGTTAAATAGCAATAAAATAAAGCAGTCATTTACATGGAAATAGAATGCTGTGAATGAATTATAGGATATAAAATATGAAATATGAAACAAGAAATATGTGCAGTAAGCAGTATGAACATTGTGTGCATTAATGTAATGCATATAGAGACTACGTTGTGGCTGAGGTAAGTGTCAGTGGGGGGGCCTTGTTTAAGAGGCTGGTAGCGGAGGGGAAGAAAGCGCAGCCTCCTGCCAGAGGGGAGGGGGGTGAACAGTTTGTGCCAGGGTGGGAGGGGTCGGCCACTATCTTCCCTGCCCGCAGAAAGGGCTACAGCCACGTAAGCAGTTCAATGCCACGAGTCACCTTCACAGAGGACCATTGTGTCCCTGCAGAGATCCTTTTATCTGCAAAAGGTTCAATATGGAATCCTCCGAGTGCTGTCCACTTTGGAGGCTTTCATTTGCCCTCAGTAATGACTCTTTCCTGCAGGCAATTCTGGATTAAGGAGGATTCATGCTTCTTCTAAAAATATATATGGATATATAAACTCTCTTATTTCTCAACTTCTTCTACCCTCCACTCTTCCTAAAAAAGTCTGCAATGTTGAACACTGGCATTAATATGTTCGCCGCTACTTGCTGTCGTTTTCAATCAGCCGCATCGCTCCATCTCTGCTGAGCGGAAATGTAGCAGAGCTAATGATGCCGCAGCAATCTGCTGGCAGGCCAATGAATGCACTGTCTCTCAACCTGCCTCTGTGATGAGCTTCTAATCTCAATACATCTCAATTTGTCATATTTACATGTGCGTGTGTTTGGTAATGTGTACAGGAAAAAGGCGAGGTGGGCCCAAAGAGAGACATCGATGGCATGGGGGTGCCGGAGATCAAGTACGGAGACTCTGTGTGCTTCGTCATGCACGTAGCGACGGGACTGTGGCTGTCCTACCTGGCGCCTGATGCCAAATCATCTCGCCTGGGACCCCTGAAAAGAAGGGTAAACAGGAAAACATTACATTACACATCGCTGATAATCTGGATCTTAAACTTTACTGAATTATTCCCATGAACATGAAGAAGACTTTCCATTCAACCATTAGAAGCAATGCTATTTTAAATGCAGGACTGTTTATTTAAAAGGTGTATACGTCTGTGTGGATATTAAGATGAAAGCACATGCCTGTAGAAAAGGGTCTTGTGTTTTTCCGCTATAGTTCGCTGTTTAACGGTTGATCAATTGAATATTTACTATCAATAAGCTTTCTTTGTTGTGCAGTTATCTACATTCACTGCTCAAAGTTTATGAATAACCAACAACGCTTACAAGGGTTGGGCTATAACTCCACAGTAACGCTACATTGACTTTTAGTGGGATTGTTTAGTGATAAAATGTTCCTATCAAAATGAAGCACCGTCTAGTTTCAGAATTGAAGGATGAATAAGTTAAACATTTCAGAGACAAAATAATAGGATAAAACAATCCAACTTCCCTCAGTCATTATATATTAGGCTTCTTTCATTTCACCATAATCAGTTTGTAGTGATGTGATGTGTATTATAACTATCGGAAAAATACTAGTTTAATAGCAGTATAGAAACATGTTGCAGGCTGAACATACTTATAGAGTGAAAGTGGCTGGTGCATAATTATAAACCAATTATTGCACTGTTGCATAGTGATACAAATAACTGTATATATATTTGGTGTCTGTGTTTACCGTGAGATCCTGAATGCCTGCCATAGCTCGCCTGCAGCACCTCGGAGCACCGTGTGCACAGTAGCAAATCACACCTTATCAAACCGCTGGCTCGTAAGGCTATTTAAACTCCCGGGCAAATATTTATTTTCTACTCTATTTAAAATCATCGTCTGCCCTGGATACTCTTGACACAACCCCTCTCCCCTCACACTCACCCGTGATGTGCAACCCATTTAAAAAGTGATAATGTGCCACGCTAAGGTAACAGTTGCTTTTGGACGAGACATGGGGGGATTAGGGAGGCGCATGAACGCTGCTCATTGGTGGCAGCGCCTCCTGGGACATCAAACGCCTCCTCATGCCGGTGCCAGGGAGTCCCTGCAGTTTGGCAGGAGACCAATGCACCTGATCTGTAGGAGGTGATGGTCAGCCTACACTTGAGACCCCCAACCCTAACCCCTCTTCTTAATTATGCTGCTTAATTACAGTGAGTCAGGTTTCCCTGAGCAGTAGTGATATAAACCCAACCTGTTTCAGGAGACTCTCCCTTCATGCATTACATACTTAAAGGGGGAGTCAGCATTCTGGAAAAGGTTGTTGATATTTGAACTCAACACCGAAAGAAACCCCCCCCCCCCCCCCCCCCTTCAGTTTTATAGCATTCCTGCTGGTCCTCAACAAGTTATAAAAGGCAATGAATTCTATTTGAAGGTCAATAACATATTATAAATAATCTAATAATTATTGAATGTATGAAGGTGTCTCAAATCAATCGTTTAATAGTCTTAAATATTTTCCACATCGAAAGTAGGATGTGATTAATCACGCTTTCTAACATTGCCTTTCAGAATCTCCCACAAATGTGTATAAATATTGAAATATTTACCAAATGTCTGTCGCATTAACTTCACCCAGATAAGGATGGCGGAACAAACCATGCAGCTACATTTTGATTGCATGCTTAATGCAAATGTAATTGGTTTGTTTTCCATTTCTCACAGCTGTTCAAACGCCCATGTTTTAGAAACAAAATATGAAGTATGTGAGTTGAAAAGACATTTACTGATGCCTGGGTGTTTCGTTGCTGTATAAATGTGATGGTCCTCTTGTGTGGATGAAATGCTTATGTGTGTGTGTGTGTGTTTGCCCAGGCCTGCCTGCACTCTGAGGGCCACATGGACGACGGGCTCATTCTGCAGCGCTGTCAGCATGAGGAGTCTCGCGCTGCTCGCATCATCCGCAACAGCACATTCCTCTTCGCCAACTTTATCAAGTAATGGCTTCATCACAAACCCTTCCATGTCTGTCACACAACACGAGAAAAAAGAAAAGCACACAATGTGGATTCTTGCTGGTTTCATTTAAAGATTTAGAGCTTATTTCTTGTTCTTTCGTCCATCCTGTGTTTTTCCTCCAGGGCTTTGGACAGCATTGCGGAGGGCGAGTCCAAGGCGGTTGCGGGATATGTTGAAGAGGTGCTGCAGACGCTCAACGACCTGATCGAGTATTTCAAACAGCCCGATTCAGAGCTGGAGCACGAGGAGAAGCAGTGTCTCCTCCGTTCACTCATCAAACGCCAAGACCTCTTCAAAGATGAGGTGAGAGTGGAAGATGTGGAGACTCCAACTTCTTAATAAGAAGCTCTAACAAAATGCTGATTGTGCTGGTAACTCCTTGGTAAACCAAATGATACATATTTAATCTAAATGGATGTATTCGATAGATCTATCAAGATGACATTTAAGACAATATATATATTCATGTGTGTCAGATATTTCGAATGAATGCTGTTATGTGTAAATATACATAGCAATAAACTTGATTCGGTTCTGATTCTAAACAGTATAACACACTGCAGTTTTTATATATAATATTCTCATATATTCATTGTGTTAAGTTTTTTAGTTTCTTTTTGAATATTTAAGCTGGTGTCCATACTTTTTTTTATGCTAATTCGTTTTTTTAGATATTTTTATATATTGTTGACCTTCTCTTGCATCTTATTTTCTTAGGTTTATGTTTCCACCATCATACACCAAAGAAAATTCCTTGTATGCAGCGTTTCCGCCAGGGGGGCGTCTTGCTGTCATTAGACGCCCATATTCGCTGAATACGTCCAAACAAATAAATAATTAGAGAAGATCGAGAGTTTTTATCGCTTGAAATTACGAAAAGGAAAAAGGACAAGGACCTCCCCTCTGTTGGAGGGGCAAAGGAGTCTGGTGGGATTCTTTTCGGAGTATTGAAGATCGTTTCCCCGACATCGGCGG